GCTCTGGTTTCAGTGTTCTGTTGCGCCAGAAGCGGCTTAGTCATGCTGGCCACATGACCCAGAAAAACTGTCTGCAGACAAACACCAGCTCCCTCGGCCTGTAAAGGGAGATGTGCGCCGCAACCCCAGAATCATCTGCGACTGGGCTTAACTGTCAGGGGTCCTTTACCTTTATCTTTAATATGTTATTAAGTTTTGGGTTTGTGAGCAATCACCTTCCCTTATCTAGCATAATCATGACATGGTGGGTGGGAATTAACTAAGCTAAATTTTCAACTAACACTCAATGTATTACAACCAAAACTGGATAAACTGTGGTTAGGACAGGAGTTCTCAACATGGAGTTCTCCAAATGGTGCTGGACTCCAACTCCCATCAGCCCCAGCCAGCATATCGATTGGGTTTAGGAAAGATGGGAATTGTAGTGCAACAACAACTGGAAAATCATGCTTTATGAAGTAATATTGTTTCCCTAAACTAGGGGTAGCTAACTTTTGGGGGGAGCTTAAACTATGGTTAGGGCTAACCACAATTCAGACATAATAATAAAGCACAGATAACTTCCTTCTTGGACAAGGAGCATTTGTGAAGATCACAGAACTTGGAGACTATGAAGTATGAAAATGTATCTTTTCATACTTCCTATAACTTTTCTTCTCAGGAGATCAGAAGGATGCTGTGTCTTGATTTTATTAGGCAAGGATGCTTTGTTTACAAATTGTAGCTATTGTGGTCCTTTTGCATAGGGCAACTGCAAAACCCCTGGAAAACTGGTCATATAGAAAAATAACCCAAAAAGTGACTGGGAAAACTTTTGTATATTGCAGAATGGGGAAAATGTGCAGGATCATTAAACGTACTCAAATCATTTCTGCATTCTGGTTTGACATTGAAGAAGTGGCTTGGTTGTTTAACAAACACACACATAATAACTACAAAGTCAAATGTTTGAGTTGCCCCTTGGTCAAGTTTTCTAGGAGTTTGTTGCTTAAGGCTGGTATCTGTGGCTGTGATTTGGGATTTTTAAAGAACTAATTCCTGTGCTAGAAATGGAGACGCTTAAGCAAAGCAAAATACTGCAGGGGTGTGTTTTGTACCTTCAGCTGTCAGAGCTCAACAATAGGGGAAAGGACTATGTAGTTCATGTGTGATGATTTCAGGGTGACTTCACTTGTCCTCATGTGGATGCTAACACAGCAGCCACGTCCTTTGTATAGCTGAGATTAAATTGATCCAAAGATCTGCAGGAATGCAGCCTAGCATTCAATACCATTTTTTTTACACCTCATTTGACTAGTCTCCATGTGCCAGATGTTGCATTCTTCCCTTGCGTAGCTAGCAATCCTGCCAAGTTCTAACGGTGGTAAATCTGATCTGCGTGAAATCTTGAGATCTCCATAAAAGCTTCGTGAAATTTGGACAAGCGCTAAGTTTGAAAGAACAGCAGATTTTAGTTGACAAAGCTGTTGGCTGCTTTTTGAAGTGGTTCTTTGTGACCCACAAAGGATCAGAAGTGTGTGCTATAATGTAGTAAACTATCTCCTTTCCCTTTTTCTGCTTTCAAGCAACCCCATACAACTCAACGTATGGGGATGCTTGGGGTGTCAAATCAGTCAGAGGCAATGCTCTTGGATCACTTTGCCTTTGGCTCATGGGAAATGATGCAGATAACTGATGGGTCTTCTCATGTGTTACTTAAATAGCCTTCCACTCTCTACCTGGCATAACACTGGTGGTAAAACAGCAGTCTCGCTTGGAGTTTTGAAGGGACATTGGGAAGCTCCACCTGCTCTCCTGTGGGGCTCCTAATGCCTGAAATTCCTTCCCATTCAAATCCCACTTCAAAATCCACATTTTCTGCAAAAACCTCTTTCTTAAACTCCCTTTACTTCATCCCTGTGTGAAATGAAGGTGAAGTTGATTGGCCATTAAGTTTAGTGAAGGTTACTCACATTCGTCTGCTAGCTTCCCTTATCTCAAATATCTGGTGACTGCAAGCTCTTTGAGTGTCTCCCCATCATCACCACCAGCACCACCTTGGGTGTCGCAGTGCTGTTAGGCTCCTTCCACTTCAATCCTCTTCTGATCCTGGGAGACGGTGGAGCATGAGACGTGTGCAGCAGGAGGAGGCATGGAAGCTCTTCATTTTACACCAGCCTGACCTGTTACCCTACAGAACCTGCCCTTGTTGAAATATGTCTTCTCTGCAATTATCTAAAGGTGCAGGAGCTTTATCCACGGTTGCAGATTATTGCCCTGTTTCTCACCATTGATTGCCAGCTGTTCGCAAGAACCTTCTGAGATGAATCTAAAAGTTTTGGTCTCTGGTGTTGCTGCTCCAACAGGATACGTGGAGGTGCACCAACGGCTCCAAAAGTGACCGAGTTTATACCTGTGTGGTGAATGTGAAAGAATAGCTTGTGAATCACTTGTAAATGTGAACATGATAGAAGAAAGTCCTCCGGGTGTCTGAAGACTCTAGAGGGGAGATGGGAAGTTGAGCTGGCAGCATTTCAGCTGCAGAATTGGATCTCTCGGGCTGATAGCCTGGACCCTTCTTTTTATTTCATTACTACAAGTTTTGCACCAGTGCACAGTGATTGTGCTGGCTTCATTGGCATCACATCAGTGTAAAGGAGAATAATTTGATCTTCTTTGTCTTCTTCCTCCTCCTGCTGTGAGTCTAGAAATGCCATTTCTTCTCTGCTCTCTGTTTTAACTATAATCGCTCTGTTTTTTCTGGGAGGGGGGATCTTTTGGCATCCTTTTCATGGCAGTGTCAATGTCGGTGGTCTTCTAAGTAAGCTAAGAGCCTGTTATCTCGGGTAGAGGTGGAGAGTTCACATAAACAAATATCCAGCTTCTTCACTGGCAGATAAAGAGGAGTCTCTTATTATGGTAAGGACAGAGTTGAAGTGTCAGCAATGCTATTTTCTAGTGGAGAACTGTATGAGTTGTTTCCTGTGTCTAATGCAGTTGGAACAGAAGACTGCAGACGTTGCAGGGTACATTTAAATAGGATTAGCTGAACTTGACATACTCAGAGATCTTCTGTACTTTTTCAAATGCAGGTCTAAATGTATGTTGATTTCCCTACTTACATTCATATAAACATGATGTACATAGCTTAGAAGGTATGTTTCAGTCCCCTGATCTTTGCTCTTCAATACTCCTTCCACACATATGCCTTAAGAGATTAGGCAGGATTATGCTGGCCATATAATAGCATCTCTCTCTTTGTCTCCACCACCACAAGCATGGAAGCCACCCAATAAGCACAATTATCACATCTGTTTGTTGGGACTAATGAATTGCAATGGCTGTCCAGAGAATGACAGCAGGCTGACCTTTTGGATAATCCTAATGAAATGGGAAGTGATTCTTTTCTTCTTCTTAACACTGGGATAGTATATATGGTAAAATATTTGAAATACTGTGTAAAGGTTAATTTTCAATGAGGGATGCTATTCCTCCTTCCTCTTTTATTTATTTTGGCATTGTTCGTGTACGTTCTACAGTCTCAGTTGGCATTTTTTCCTATGTGTTACACCGAATATATTATTTAATTGAGAAAGCAATAAGGAAACCGGCAATTTACAGCATCAACTGACCTGTATTGTGCTAGTTAATGGTTCTTGAGAATATGTCTGCATGTTATCTCCCACTTTTATTTAATGGGGTGAAGTATTTGATCCTATTATTTAAATGATTTCTCTGGGATCGAAGCTGGAAAACTGATGAAAGAAAACCAGAATGAGGGAACTTGGATTACAATTTTGCTGTTGGGATTTTGTTTAGTTCACTTTTTAATGGCGTTGACTGAGGGGAATCCATATGACTGTTGTGCTGTGCTCCCTATTTGGGAAGATCTGTACCATACATTTAAAAGACAGCCAACACACATTTAAAGATTCATGTGCTCTAAATGTGCATTGAATGCACTTTAAATTTATGGAGTGGGTCTCTCTCTTTGTCTCTTCCCTCTTGTGGTAATTTAGTCATCTGGGTGATTCATCATCAGCCCAGAAAGGCTGCTGCCAGCCTTTCCCAATTGTGATATGTGAACATGAGGAACTGGTTAGTCACCAGCACACTTGAATTATTGCAGAAAATATAAGATTACATCGTTGCTGCAGGAGTAAGACTCTGCATGAAACGCTTGCCATTCATGCCAGCCTGTGGATCCAAGATACATCGAAGGGCATGTGAGACCTTACAATACACTGGGTGGTCATAGAATCGTTGTTGTTGTTTAGTCATTTAGTCGTGTCCGACTCTTCGTGACCCTATGGACCAGAGCACACCAGGCACTCCTGTCTCCCACTGCCTCCCGCAGCTTTGTTAAACTCATGTTCGTAGCTTCGAGAACATTCCAGCCATCTCGTCCTCTGTCGTCCCCTTCTCCTTGTGCCCTCCATCTTTCCCAACATCAGGGTCTTTTCCAGGGAGTCTTCTCTTCTCTTCTCTTCTCTTCTCTTCTCATGAATATGAAAATAAAATATTTTTATTTTAAATTGTACTGTTTTAACATTCAATGTTTGCCATGCTGGGATCCTTAAGGAGGAAGGGCAGGGTACAAAATTTAATAAATAAAGAAAGCTCATTTTTTAAAAAGGTTTTTTAAAAAGGAGTTGGCTCCAAAGTATTGGAGCCTCAGCTTCAGGAGAGTCATACAACTGTAGAGTTGGAAGGGACCACAAGGATCATTTAGTCCATGGGTAGGTAAACTAAGGCCCGGGGACTGGGGCCGGCCCAGTCGCCTTCTAAATCCAGCCTGTGGACGGTCCGGGAATCAGTGTGTTTTTACATGAGTAGAATGTGTCCTTTTATTTAAAATGCACCTCTGGGTTATTTGTGGGACACAGGAATGCGTTCATTATTTTTTCCAAAATATGGTCTGCCCCACCACAAGGTCTGAGGGACAGTGGACCGGCCCCCTGCTGAAAAAGTTTGCTGACCCCTGATTTTAGTCCAACCCCCTGCAATGCAGGAATTTATCTTGCCCAATGTGGGGCTCGAACCCATGACCCTGATATTAAGAGTCTCATGCTCTAGCCACTGAGCTATCACAGCGGGTGCAAGGTGGATACCCATTCTCCATGCACTTTCTACCCTTTTCTTTCTTCCAAAGGACCAAAGTATCATTGGGTTGTGAAATATATGCTCATAATCCTGGCAGTGCATATTAATTGTGTGTGTGCATTCTCACATACACACGTGTAGTGTCCTGCCATGCAAGTGAGAGATTCCTAGGTGGGAAAATGTGTGTTTGGGGTGTGTGTGTGTTTTTTTTTTTTAAAAAAACCCTGTAAATATCATCAGAGGAGTTTTGCACTCCATTATTGGAGCATGCAGCAGTGAAACATTTATAAACATATACCGTATTTTTTGCTCTACTAGACACACCGGACCATAAGACTCACCTAGCTTTTAGGGGAGTTTTTCTGGCTTTTGGATAGCCCTGCAAAGCCTCCGCAGGGCACGGGGATGAAGGCTCCCCGTGCCCTGCGGAGGCTTCGCACAGCTAAGCCAGAAGCTAGAACAGCCTTCCCGGGAGAGGCTCCCCCAAGAGCAGCACTCCCTTTAAAGAGCGCACGGACTTTGTGTGTGGCTCTTGGGGGCTTTTCCCTGAGGAGGGAGAAGGGCAGCCCTTCTCCCTCCTTGGGGAAAAGCCCCGAAGAGCCACACACACGCTCCACGTGGCTCTTTAATGGGAGCACTGAGCAGAGCCTCCTGCCTGCATTCGCTCCATAAGATGCACACACATTTCCCCTTACTTTTTAGGAGGGGAAAAGTGTGTCTTATAGAGCGAAAAATACGGTACTTTAAAAAAATGGCATCAAGAAAAGTGTGGACCATTTTAGTGGTGCTAACCTTTTAAAGGCAGCATTTGTGGGTTCATAGTGGATGACCCTTTTTTAAAACAAAACAAAACAAAACAAAACAAAACAAAGCACAGTCCATAAAACTCATATAACAGTCATATAGTGCTGCTTACCTACATAAGGTGTCAGAATTGCCATATGTACAGCCGAGACCTGCAATCTCTGAGAAGTCTCAGTCTTCGTTTTATTGGAGGAGAAAGGACTTGATGCATATGGGAGAAAAAGGTAGCCACAGTATATTTTAGATAAACTGTTCCTTTGACAATGTTGCAGGGAGAATGGAAATGGGCTTCACTTGAAAACTTTGCCCCCTTCCGACAAACCAGGGAAAGTTTGGGACTTAAAAATGCAAAGGTTTGGTGTATGTGTTTTCAAAGAGATAAGCCTAAAATAGCTAGCGGGTGAGATTAAAGTGAACAAAACGCAACAACAGGCAAAGCTGGAAAAATATTGTCACTCAGAGGTGTACGAAGTGCTGATTTCTGGCCATTAGTATTCCAGTGAGACGTTGCCAAGTCCAAAATGAAACCCTGCCCTTCAAACGGAAGAGATAAGAAAAGCAGTCAAGTTGGATGCGGTTTCCTTTCCTTTTATTTATTTATTTACAGAGGATATAAGGTCATTTGAGCGACATATATGATACAAAGTTTTTGTTTTGCCCAAAGTACGTAATGTATAGTGTTTTCACCCTACCTTACAGGGCTGTATCTGAGGCACTTTTGAGTTCCTTGGATGAATGGGTAGGATACAAACATAACAAAATGAATATTGTGCTTCTATCTCAAAGCATCATACATACTCTGAGGAATAGTTTACGATGTCTATAGTGGTAAGTAGAATCTTGCGGAGCTGGAAAGGGTTCAGAAAAAGGCAATCAAAATGACCAGGGGTTGGAGCAACCCTCATATAGGGACAGGTTTTACAACACTTAGGGGCTTTTCAGTTGAGAAAAATTTTAAGAGATGACATGATATAGGTATATGAAATGGTGTATCGTGTTAAGAAAGCAGATATAGAAGTTTTTCTCCTTCGTAATACTAGAACTCATAGACATTCAGCGAACCTGAGTGCTGAAACAAAAGAAAGAACTTCTTCACATTGTGCATAGTTAAACCATGCACCCATAAGATATCGTAATGTCCACCAACTTCAAATTCATAGGCATTAAGGCCATCCAGGGCTACAATTCATGAAAAAAAGTGTTCTTCCTTCACTGTCGAAGACTGTACACCCTCTGGAGGGCCACAGGATTCCCTCATCCCACACACAGATTCTGACATATGGCCCTATTCGCTTTTTTGCCAATGGTCAAATGGCTTCATGGCTGCTTTTTTCTGTTGAAACTTTGGTTTCTTATAAGCTTTGTCCTGGTGTGTTTGGCACAGACTATGTGGAGATGAGACTTAAGATTTATTTGTCATTTTTCTAGTCTGTATAAAGCAGTGTTTCCTCTTTCCAAAATTAGTAAGTGTGAATATACAGATTCCCTTAGACAAGGGGAACTTGAAAACAATCTAAATATATCCCCTGAGTGAGTCTTTGCCTTTAGAAATGACGCAACATCGAGGACTCCTGCTCTAAAGCTTTTCAGCAGTAACCCAGCATATAGTTTTGTTCCTTTCCATACTCATGCAGCTAATACGTCCCCACAGTGGGGAAGCGGGTCATCAGACTGTTCACATACAATTCACTAGAATTATCTTCCCAGATTTTTTTGGTAGTAGTTATGTAGATGTTATTGTTGTTTAGTCGTTTAGTCGTGTCCGACTCTTCGTGACCCCATGGACCAGAGCACACCAGGCACTCCTGTCTTCCACTGCCTCCCACAGTTTAGTCATACTCATGCTGGTAGCTTCGAGAACACTATCCAGCCATCTCGTCCTCTGTCGTCCCCTTCTCCTTGTGCCCTCCATCTTTCCCAACATCAGGGTCTTTTCCAGGGAGTCTTCTCTTCTCATGATGTGGCCAAAGTATTGGAGTCTCAGCTTCAGGATCTGTCCTTCCAGTGAGCACTCAGGGCTGATTTCCTTAAGAATGGATAGGTTTGTTGTTCTTGCAGTCCATGGGACTCTCAAGAGTCTCCTCCAGCACCAGAATTCAAAAGCATCAATTCTTCGGCGATCAGCCTTCTTTATGGTCCAGCTCTCACTTCTCACTTATGTAGATACTTAAAGCAAACAAAGATATTACCCTCCTAGTGCAACAACCGAGGGATGCAGTTTTAATACAATGTGCAAACTATTGGATAATCTTCTAGGAACAGGTAAAAGGATATTAGCAATGTCCAGCATATGCCTGTTTCTTCTGCTAAAGTTCTGAAAGACTCATTTGGGCAAGCTGTGTAATGAATCCTGCTGTTTTTGATGGAATGGATCCCAGGAAGACTTTCTCATTGATGAGCTTCATCAACATGCCTACAGGCTCCAGAGCCTCCTTGATTGTTGAGGCCTGCAAGGAAAGTTGTTATTATCCCGATTGCTAGAACAAATATAAAACACGACATTTGCCTTTCACAGTCTCAGTGGGACAAAATGCTGAGTTAATCAGCAGCCTTTAAGAGTGAAACTGAAGAGAGGGTCCCCCCCCGCCCGCTTTTTAAACAAAGTAATATGCCAGCTAGGGTGAGAACTGTGATTAGCAAAATTTCACACTTTGGGAAGCTGGAGCATTGCTGCAGCATGTCTGATGACTCCAGCTTGCAGCTATTGCTTTGGGATCGCAATAGATGCTGAAACAGATGTAAAATGAAATTTAGGGCTTAATGCCACTTCACACATTATTATATTCTTACAGCTCATAATTCCTGTCTGGGAATACCTGGTTTTAGGTTGTGTACACATTATTAGCTTTATACACAGCTAGGTTGTCCTCTCTCTCTTCCCCCCCACCCCAAGTGTGGATCAAAGCTGTTCTGGGGAAAGATGCACCAAAATGTTGTATTTCATAAGAAATGACAAGATAGATGTGGACTGTGGTTAAGTCATTTGTAGACCGCATCCCAAAACAGCAGTGGAGGCATGCTGGTTGCAGAGTAAATGGGAGTGTGTGCATGGCCTTAGATGCAGAGTTGGGGTGTGGATAGCTTTGAAGGTAAAAGGTAAAGGACCCCTGGACGGTTAAGTCCAGTCAAAGGTGACTATGGGTTTGTGGCGCTCATCTCACTTTCAGGCCAAGGGAGCCAGCATTTGTCCACAGACAGCTTTCCGGGTCATGTGGCCAGCATGACTAAACCGCTTCTGGCGCAATGGAGCACCGTGACGGAAGCCAGAGCCCATGGAAACACCGTTTACCTTCCTGCCTCAGTGGTACATATTTATCTACTTGCACTGGCATGCTTTAGAACTGCTAGGTTGGCAGGAGCTGGGACAGAATAACGGGAGCTCACTCTGTTGTGGGGATTCGAATTGCTGACCAGATCGGCAAGTCCAAGAGGCTCAGTGGTTTGGACCACAGTGCCACCTGCTTTGAAGGAGACATTATCTGAGAAGAAAAAGAGGTTCTCGAATGAGACTGTATCATGATTACTCTGAGGCTAGTTTCTCTGCAGGTTGAGATATCTTTTTTGCACAAATACTGAGGTTCGTTTTTAACACCTTCCTTTGATGCAAGGAAAGGGAGAATGTACAAGTGAGGCAGGTTTTTGTGTGGTGGTGGACCTGGCGACAGCACACTGCATCTTTGAGCAGCTATTGAGGTTCCCAGAGCCCTGACAGGGACCAGTCCTGCACTAACACACAACCCAGCTCCGAATTAATATTTTAGATATCCCACAATGTCCTGGAAAGATGCCACCTCAGAGGCATTATGGGAAATTTAAATGGAGAGGACCTACCAAAGGCTACCTACTGAGGGAGTCCCCTCAAACCAGAAGCAGGCCTTGCATGGATGTTGGGTATGGAAGCAGAATAAACTGATTCCACTCCTGAAACTTATTAAATGATACATGAACTTTGCAAAAATCATGATGTATCTTCTCACCCCATTTAGGGAAAGTACTGGTTATCAACAAGGGAAGCCTGCCAAACCTTGGCTTTCCATAACTTCAGCCACCAAACTAGAACTAACCTTATTTTGCCATACATTTGGACTGTACTGTTTTGTGGTGGGTGCTTGCTGTTGGCTTTATAGTGCTTTGAATTTTTAGTGAGGAAGTCTTATGCTCTATATTTTTGTTTCAAATGTCTTACTGTTG